CTGGCGGCTATGGCCACCATCTTCTTCCTCTATCCTAGCTATGGTATCACTCGTGGGTGCCCTCTTCTTCTCCTCTCAAGTTCATTCATTTATTTTTGCAATTGGACGACTTTGTACTTTCTCATGAATGTGTACTTCGAAATTGGCCAGGATCATAACTGCTTTATGGACTGATTGACCTTTGCCTCCGGGAGTGCTCTCAGGTTAGGAGGGGGCCTGGGGAGTTTGTTTGCTCTCGAAGGAAGGGTAGTTAATCCCCTCTGTGGAGGGCAATCAATGCTGCTCATTAATGACAACCTACAACTAAAACTGCTACAACTATGGCCCCACCCTTGCAGCAAAACATCCTGTCGACACAAGATTGTTTTTGCGGCCAGGGCCTACCGGACGACAAGGGCTGGCGCGCCAGCCAAAAAAGAAAAGAAGTGCCGCTCTGGCAGTTTGGAAAGTGCACCACTGGCGGTTTGGAAAAAGGGGCCCGGGTGTACTGGTGGTTTAAGGGACGCCGGACCCGATTTCCAGCAGGTGCAGCTCCCCACCAATGGAACAGAGCCATCATGATGCGGATGGGAGGGGTGTCTGCTCTTATCAGTGCCCCCACCATCCCTGCCGCCGATGTGTTTGGAAAAAAAAAAAAGAAGAAGAAAAAAAGACTTCATTATATGCACGAAAGGAGGTTGGGAATCCCTCCACATCTCAACCCGGAATGCTGGGGCCAATACCCAGCTTAGGCTCATACTGGAAAACGGGTCCAGTGTCGTATTCTTCAAAATCCCAGCATGCTATTCAAGAACAAAGTATAGAAACTGGATTAACAAAAGAAACCCCATGTTCTACTGGGAGATTCATTGCTGGAGCCAGGCCAAACGTGGACTACAAAAAAGCAAAAAAGGGAAAACGGGTATGTCTTCCCATGTTCTAGGGGGGGAGAATCACAGTGTGAGCATGGCTAACCCCTGCGGGGAGATTCATTCTTATTCTGCACATCTGGTAAATGCTGGGGCCAAGCCCCAACGTGGGCTACCAAAAGAGGCGGGGGGGGGAACAGCTACGGAAAGGGAAACAAAAACAGTGGTGGATCTTCCCATGTTCTAGCATGAGATTCATTATAACGGATCCTGCAGCCCCCAGTAAAGAATCAGAGTGTGCGCATGCCCTAACCCCTACCCATAAGCCATGTATCTTCCCATGTTCTACCAAAAAGGGGGGGGGGGGGGGAAGCAGCGGTGCATCTTCACAGGTTCCGGTGGGACATTCATTCTCATTTGGCACACTTGGTGAGTGCTGGAGCCAGGGCCCAATAGCTGAGAAAAAAGTAGGAAGGCAAAAAACAGCGGTGAATCTTCCCAGTTTCCAGCGGGAGATTCATTCTCATTTTGCACATTTGGTGAGTGCTGGAGCCAAGGCCCAACAGGATACACGTGCTGACAACAAAGCAGTTTCATATCTTTTAAGTTTTGTCTTTCGTGCATTGAATCCGAACACACTCGAATGCGCTGCTGTGTTCTTGTATTCGGAAATGAGTGCTGAGCGGCCCAACATGGGCAGCTCAGAGCTCCGTCAACGTCCACAGCAGGGGAATTCAAAGGTGACCCGAACCTTTGCAACCAAAAAAAAAGACGCAACAGCTGTGGACCATACAAGAACACAAACGCCACCGTCCCTGCAGTGGCCCCATGGACCGTCCCCATGTGATTTCTCTTGGGCCCAGCGGGAGGCGTGACATGGGCCCACTGCTCCTTTTAGGAGGTATAGAGATATAGATAGGTAGATAGATAGATAGATAGAGAAGAGAAGAGAAGAGGAGAGGAGAGGAGAGGAGAGAAGAGGAGAGGAGAGGAGAGGAGAGGAGAGGAGAGGAG